TAAATTGGAATTATTTAACTGACATTCTCTTTATATTATTATATAATTTCCTGGTATTCAGACATTGATGATTACGGCTATAAATAAACTCTGCATTCGTGATCCGTGTTAAATGATAGTTCTGAAACCCTTTTGAAAGTTGGGAAAGCTATAAATATTCCTGGAAGATATTTAGTTCTAAACACGCAGAAAAAGTAACAGAGTTTTCAGATAATGATAATGTTTACAGTTAAACTGAGCTCTTTATTGGAATCTAATAAACTTTATTTGAAATAAACGTTTTAGTGATCCCCTTGTTTATGATGGGGCTTATTGGGATCATCAGAAAAATGGCTTATGAAAAACTGCTGAAGTTACTCAGAAATGAATAAAAACAAATGATGTCAGCTCATGATGAAATCCTTAAACCAATCAAACAAAATCCCTACAAAAACCAATACTTGAAAATTGAACTGAGGCCCACAAGCGACTGGCCCTATTCAGGCAGTGACCTGCGGTTCTAGTGGGAAGCCATGACCAGTAGGGTGCAGGAGGTTTAAGATGAGGACAGTTGCCTACGAAGACATTGCTAAGTGGTCTCACTATGTCATGAGTTGGCAGAAGTTAGAATTCGTAGGCCTTTGGTTCAGCCTAATGGTCTTCAATCTAGCTTTGTAACTGGAAGGTCCTGGGTTCAAACTCTGCCGGTGGGTGCGTACCAATAAAGAGTTCAAAACCAAAACAAAACAATGTTTCTGTAACTGATGTCAGATCGTAATGAAATCCCTCAACCAATCAAAACTATAAAACAGTTTTTTGATGAAGATGTTCATTAGCATTCCGTCGGGCCTTAAACATGTTTTGGACATTCCATGTTCCAATTCTTTCATGTGTGTTCAGTAAAAGAAAGAAGTATTGGTCAACTGACTTTCTGAAGGCTTCTATGGACCATCATACAACAACACATATGCTCACGTCACTAAGGCAGAAGATAATGAAGGAAGGAAAGGTACTTGGCGACTAGAATAAAGGCCAGTTTGTCAAACTGCAAAAATGGGCGACTTAATATTTTTCAAGCACTCGTCTGGTATCGTGATCCTGTTTACCTGAAGCGGAATATTAGACCACATCATCCGAAAAAGATATCCTGGAGGGAAAATTTCCCCTTCCACCCGAACTCCCTGGATTAGAGAAAAATAAACCACGTGCGGGTCAAATTGTAACAAACACGTACCATCAGCGAACAGAGCCTACTATGACATTGAGTTCTTAACCCAACTTTCATCAGCTTTGAAAACGACTCTGACGAAATCTACCTGGAAGCGACTTTGTAACTGCTTCAACATTAAGAACTTCTAAAAATTATCATTCACCAACTAAGTGGTGATGCCGTAATCCAGGTAATTCACAACAAAATGCACAAAGAACCATCTGAATTGAAGCCATAAGTAAGAAAAAAATCTGTACTAATTGTGGTGGACTAAATGATGAGACAGACTGTAGAAGGTGACAAGACGGGTATAGTTGCCTTAGAAGCTCGAAGATTAAGAAGGAAAATTCAACACCTTTCCAAAATCGGCAACGACATCGAGGATTCGATGAACGCGGAGAAGAAAGAAGTGGTGAGAATAGGCGACTAATACCAACAAGCACCAATCAGTACAGACGGCAGCGATCTAAAACAAGTCATCTCTTTCCATTTCGTGAGCACCATTTTTTCATTTACAGATTGTACAAATGAGGATATCATTACCAGCCAGGATTGAACCTACTCTGAAATTGTCAAGGAGATCTTTAGCGCTTAGCACAACCGAAAAAAAAGATATGAGCGTCACTTCTCAAGCAATGCCTCTTTATTTTCGATCAACAAACGGTGACTAATAAATTCACAGCGGTTACCTTCTGATAACCAGAAAACATTACTCTCATTGCCAAGTCTACATGTCTGTGCGCAGTCCGTTCGATGGTTAAAATGTTCGTCAACCACACAAGCGGTCCATCGTTCGATTTCCGGATGGTGCACTCCTTAACCTCACCTAGATTACCAAGCGATAGTAAACTTGAGAAAGAGGGAGGCGTCAGCAGCCTTTCTCGTAAAAATAGCAACACTATAGCTACTGATATCTCAAAGTTTAAAATCCCCTTGTGTTAAGCAGAACGTATCAGAATGAAAGGGATCCACATATCATGGATATATGGTAAGTGGAAAAGTTGTCTGCATTCAAAATGAATAGTGTTTAATTTGTAGTTCAATATTGAAAATAACTGTTACTGAAATTTTAAAATAAATCAAGCATTTGCTTCTGCATTCTCTTTAGGGTGGAAACATGAGTTCACAATGTTAATGATGTCATAATAATTGTACTGTATTTGTTCCCTCCTATTCATACACATACCAAGTATACAGTCATGAATAAGTTATTTTCAAACTGTAATAATTTGAGTTTATAAAGAGGACGTTCTTGCTGCTGTATCATTAGAGTCAACTGAAACAGTTTGACTACTAATTTATAAACCCAGTGTATTAAGAAATATAGAAGTGTAGTCTCTGTATTAACAGAAGAAATGCGGCTCTATGGTGGAGGATATATTACAGCATCTGAGGAAAAGTAAGGCTTAAAGTTAACGTCTCTGCATATTTTGCTGTTAAGGGCTTTGTATCATGTCCTTGAGTTTATAGTGTGAAAATCCGTTCTTTCCAACTCATTTATATATCTAATTATCTCTCAGCGGCGTTACTGTAACCTTGTTATTCCTAATTGTTTTATTTTTTTGCATCTCGTGTCGAAAAAAGTCTGTCAGACTTTGAGCTCTGCAGTTTAACTAGCATTAGTGTTATTATTTTTACGAGTTGGGTATGATAACTTCATGAGCAACCCTTACTTTTTAACGGGCTTAGTACAGGCTAAGCGAGGTTAAGGAATGCGTTGGCCAGCAGACAGACTCTGGAACATATGAGGTGTAATAAACGAGTTTTCGTTAGCTATACCACCAACACACTACTAAGCTCGAATCAGCAGTGAGTGGAGAATCCAAACTTCTGTTTTCTGAAAACCCACACACACCAAAATCATCCATCCGGCCAAAAATTCTTCTACCAGAGTATCTGGAATTCCAATTTCTTCAACTTTTATCACTGTGGTGGTTTTGGAGAAATGTTTAGCAAGAGAAGTGATGCCTAAACTACTGTAAATAACTGAATACAATTTTAGGTTTTCCCGTCGATTGACTGAACTGAAGTGCTCAGTGTCACGTTGACTTGTCGGCTTCTTGTGCAGATGCTTCGACGATATCTGAGTATGAAATCGGAAGTTTATTGGTTGATGGTGACTAGTGGTGGAAACCAGGATATGCATGTCTTCCTATTCGGAACTCGTCAGCTGGATGTACTTGCACAAGAAGCCGACATGTTAACCTGAGACGGAGCACTTCAGTTTAATCAGTCGCCGGGAAAATCCAAGTTTGAATTCAATAATTAATATGGCCCGTCGCACAAGAGGTAGCTCTGGTGGCCCAAGTGTTCTAGTGTATTACACTTTGGAGCTTGGAACTATAGACACTGGGTTCGAGCCTCCGTGGGAACACCATCAGTCAGTGGGGAATGCAGGTGCATCCAGAGACGAGTCTCAAATGGGGAAAAATACAGATCCTGGATTCCAGTGCTAGCCACCATCCACGAATTAATTACTGTACATACTGTAGTACATTTCTGTGTAAGATTTACACTTTCGATGAACTCAAGTCCGCTGAACAATGGCATTGAATGATCCCTAATACGCACTTGGGTTTATTAGACTTTTTCACAATCAATAAATTGACCTGTATAAACACTTATCGATAAATAAAGTGGTTTTCAAGAAAATAAGATCTGTTTCTGCCATAGACATAATCCATGGAATATGAAAAGTTATTCTCCTGAGAAAGGCTTTTCATATTTCTATTTCGAAACATAGGGCATTACGATCATTGAGTGGAATTTCCAATATCTTGTTTTCCAAAAATAACTCCAGACATTTACATATCGTCATTACACTGAGGTTAATTAAAATTGTAACTTCAAAAGTGAAAATCAGAGAAATATTGTTCACAAGCAATTTACGATTAGACATACTTTAAACTGTCTACTAATCAAAAATAAGAAGCGATACACCCAAAACCATTTTAAAAGTGGTTTTGTCTATATATCCGCTTTACAAATAGAGTGGCTTAACTGTTGAGAACATCACAATGACGTACGTGTTACCAGGTAGCTCTCAGAATTCAAAAAAGAAAAAGAAGCTCATAGGAGCATTTCTCTGATTTCCGAGTGGAAGATAAGGCTTTTAGCTTTGAAGTTACGACGTGACATTACTAGCCTCATGTTAAATGTCCCTTCTTCCTATGACTTACTGGTGGCGAGTAAACTAGACGAGGTTAAGAAGTGTTCAGAATGGAAAATGAATCACACTGGTGCTCCATCGGAAACATTCTTCTAAGATGTTGGACGCATTCTGCAGGAAGTCTCTGACTTAGATTTTCCGCTTATGCAGAGCTTTCAGATAGGCATAACTGCAAACTGCAAGGAGTGGAATGTTGGAAGTAGTTGGTAACTAGAGAGTGACCAGTATCCACTGTCTAATTCTTGGTATTAATGCTAATATGGATCCCATTTATTGGCGTTTCCGATGTAGGGGCGATTCCACTGCCTTCGTTGTCACAATACAAATATGTATCTGATTTGACATCACTCAACACAAGCAGTGGTGCATAATGTTTCAAATACACATATTTGTTTCAGAGTAAACAGATTTGGTTTCATTCAGGTGTATATTTACCTTTCTGAAAAGATAAATTTCGGAGGGTGAGGATAATCACTTTCATTCTTATCAAAGACGAACCAAACTTTCTTGAATTATTTCTCCAACCAGTCTTCTTTACCTGACTTAGTACTAGCTAAGCGAGGTTTTTTAAGTGCATCGGCATAGAGACAAATGCCGGAATACGTGAGGAATGGTAGGTTAGTATTCTACCACCGAACCACTGTGGTACTACTAAGCTCATATCAAGAGTATGTGCAGAATCTAAATTTGTATTCTCTGTGAACAGAACTACGCTGAATACATCTTCTCCAATGTATGTAGAATCCATAATTTT